ACAGCCCACTCAGGCCTGCCGCATAATTTGGATTGGTATCAGTTGTGAAATTCCAGAGTCTGAGACCCTCGCTCCACTGGGCCCTTCATCCTTACCAAGGAACGTGCAGAGGCCCAGAGGATGGGGTGCCCAAGGCCACAGAGCCTGGCCGGGCGGGACGAAATGTGGAGTGGGGCTGGTGACGTCACCCAGAGCTCTGGGGGGGCCTCAGCATCCCCTGAGCCCAGCCAGGGACTGGAGGAGACCCGGTCTCTGCACAGATGGTGCTCCCTTTGCACAGATGCTAACACTGAGGCCCAGGGGAGAGGCCCAGGGGACACAGCCAGGAGCACAACAGGAATTTAAGCTCCACCCCTGGGGCCCCATGGATGGGAGGGACAGTCAGAGAGGCCGAGCCGCCGGATCTCCTGGCCACCATGTCCCCAGCGCATCCCCAGGCCTCGGCCGCAGGCGGGTGCTCCTGCCCAGGCTGCTGCCCTGGTCTTGACCCCTGGGTGGGAGCTGCCCCTCCTGCCACATCCCTGGCCCGACTCTGCCCAGACACCTCAGGAATGCAGGGGGAGGGGTACTCAGTGAAGATGGGGCCTGGGGTCCAGGGAGGAGAGAAGAAAGGAGCCACAGGTGGGGCTCCCCATGTCCCTGGGCTGGGCCACAGCTGGCAGAGGGAGGCCGAGAGGCAGCCCAGGCGGGTGCCCCCTCGGGGCTGTGTGACCCTGGGGATGCAGATGCCCATCTCTGAGTTCTTGGGATGCAAAATGGAGTTCCAGAGCCGGGGAGCTGAGGCAGAGGAGCTGCCGGGCTCTGAGGTTGGGGCTTCTGGCGGAGGTAGGGAGAGGCGGGGCGGCAGCGCTCTCCTCCGAAGCCTCAGGAATCGCCTTAATTACAGCGTCAGCCTCGCTGCGCTTCCTGCCATAAACCCAGGAATCTAAATTAGAAGGCAGAGGGCCGGCTCCCCGTCCTGCCGACCCCCCAAGTCTGCTGGGAAGCTCTCCTGGAGACAGGCCGCCAGTGGGGGGCTAACTGCAGAGGTCCCAGGCCCAGACCCAGGGGGCCCCAGGGGTCAGAGGAGGGCAGGGGGCTGTCTGCAGATTCCCTGTGGCTGTCCTGGGCCAGACTGAGGGCAAGACTCCTGTTCGCAGGGGAAACCGAGGCGCGCACCCAGGTCTCCCAGGGCGAGGGGTCTCCAGCTCCCAGCCGGGGCTGGCCACCAGAGGAGGTGGCGGGCTGCTGCCCAGGTCAGCCCCTCTGCCCTGAGAGACGGGAGGCAGGAGGACGGCGAGGGGTCCTCTGCTCCTGGGTAGTGGTCAGGGGGTGGGGACAGGGAGCCTCCCTGGGCGCAGTCTGGTCCCCGTGTGCGTGTGTCCCTGTGTTTGCGTGAGCTCACATACGCGGGCCGTGCGTGCAGGAGCGTGTGCAAGTGGGGAGTGAGGTCATGTGGGCAGGAGGCGCTGAGCGTCCAAACCACTGGAGCCGCTGGGGAGAGACAGCCTGGCCCAGGGAGGGGGCCCCGGGCAGGGAGGGGAGCCGGGGACAGGGCGGCCAGCCAGCCAGGGGGGTGGCGCATGCCTGGGTGGGCAGAGGGAAGACAGGAGGGACCCAGAGAACGGCGGTGGGCAGGGCGGGCCAGCGCTCTGAGGGGAAGGGGCTGTCCAGTCCCAGGCTCCCCTCCCCCTCCCCTGAGTGGGGGCCCAGGGCAGCTCTCTGAGGCTGGTTTTTCTGGTCGGTGGCTCTGTGACCACCCTCCCCTAAGGCAATTTTTGGAGGGCCTCTTGCACATGCCAGGGGGGCATCTAGGGAAGGCCCCGTGGGAGGCCAGATCATGGAGAGGAGGGGAGGCAGGGTCCTAGGGACCCCAAGGGGCCTGTGATGGCTGGGGGAAGGCTGGGCCCACTGGGACCTCCCCCAACACCCCGCTCCTGACAGAGGCCGCTGGCCACATTCTCCTGCACCCGGTGATTTTCAGCCAGCAGCAATTTTGGCCTGCCCCCAGGGGACATCTGTCTCTGCCTGGAGACCTTCTGGCTTAATTGGGGGTGGGGATAGAGGCCAAGGTCCTTTGACAAACCTGTGAGCTTGCCTGTCTCCTGTCCCCACCTGGTGGCTTCATTCCTGCCTCAGGGCCTTTGCCCTGGCTGTTCCCCTGCCTGGAGTACTCTGTTCACAGACTGTCACACAGCTTCCTCCTCATGGGGGGGGAGCAGGGGGGTGTCTCTCAACTGTCACCTGCTCAGAGCAGTTTTGACACCCCCCACCCCTCCTGCACTCTGTCACAAACCTCAACTCTTTCCTTCCCAGCACTCACCAGGCCATTGAGAGGATGGATCTTGTTTCTGTATTTGGATTCTTATTTGCAGTTTGGCTGTGTGAGCCCCAGGAGGGCTGGGGACTTGTCTGCCACTTGCTCAGAAGACAAGATCGAGAGGTCACTCAGAACAGCCAGAAAATGCTGCTGGGAACACTTTGCAATTAATACCTTCCTGTTATGTCCATCTCGCCGGTGGAGAAACTGAGGTTCAGAGATGTCAAGTGACTTGCCCACAGTGACACCGCTAGTGGATGCCTGAGTTAGAATTGAAACTCAGGCAGATGGGCTCCCCGGCTCACTCTCCTGACACATGCCCCCCCTCTTTATAAGTGTCAGCTGGACGTGTGCATGACCTGGTCACCAGGAAGCATGTCCCAGCAGCCCGGTCCCCGTTTCTCCCTCTCCCTGAGAAAGCCTCCCCAATCCAGGTTTTGGAGGCTGCTGCCAACGGAGCCCCAGCTCCCAGAAAGGAGGAGGGGCCCTTCCACCTCAGGCCAGCAGACACACAGGCCCTTCTTGGCAGACTCGGGTGCAGGGTCCCTTACCAGGGGGAGCCCCAAGTCTTAGTCACCACGTTGGGGCTGCAGCTGCTGCCCTGAGTCACTGTTGACTGGCCCTGGATGTGTCAGCCCTGTGCCTCCTGCAAATCGGAGCTGAGCAGGAGAGGGACACACTTAGGGACAGGAGGAGGTGCCCCCTCCTCTTGCTGCCTGGCAGGGCCACGTGGGCTGGGCCCTGGGCTGAGTCCCAGGGTTGTGCTGCACTGTGAGCCAGGGACCCAGAGCAGCTAAGGAGGGTCCCACCTGCCCCCCGCTGGCGGCCTTAGTGAAGAGCTGAAGGCAGGAGAGTGTCACAAGGAAGGGGGGCTTGTCTATGGGGGTGACAGAGGAAGTCTGTCCAGGGCTCTTTGCTGCCCAGATTCCCAATCAGGAAGCCCCTGCTGGCCCTGGGCCCACCGCCCACTCCTCCTCCTTACCTCGCGCCCCTCCACCAGGCCACCGTTCACCACTACACCCCCAGCCGCACAGCCCTGCCCCAGGCTCCCCGAACTCCTTTCCCCGGCCTTCTCCTAACTTCTATGGGGCCACTCAAATAACAGCCAAGGCCTGGGGTCTGTTGAGGGTCCTGGCCCATCCTTTCAAATGTAGTGGCTTGGTCTCAGATGCTAGGCCCATGTGGCTGAGTTAAGGGTCACTTCACCACTTACCAGCTGTGTGGCCTTGGGCAGGTTTCATCACATCTCTGTTTTATCTTTTTTTTTTTTTTTTCAGTGTTGGGAATTGAACCCACGGCCTCACACATGCTAGGCAAGCACTTTACCATTAAGCTACACCCCAAGACCTTTCATCAGGTCTCTGAACCCCTAAATTTGCAACAGTTAAAAGAGCAAGATAAACAGGGGATGCAGTAAGAAGGGGCTTTGGAAGGTTCACTAGGCCAGGCTCAGAGCGTGCGTGGCACTTTGCCCTGCTCGGGGTGCGCAGCAAGTGTTCTTATTCTCTGTGAAAACTTCCCTGAGGTCCCTCCAACACCCAGAGGAAGGGCAGGCCTCTAAGGTCTAGGAAATCAAGTCCTGGATCCTAATAGCAGCCCCAGCCCCCGAGCCCCTGAAGCCGAGGGCCTCCTGTGGGGGGTGGGGGGGCACTTGGGAGGCCCCTGTCCTGGCTCCAGGCCTGGTGGGCGCTGGGTCACGTGGGACCTGGGCACATCCTCCCCACCCTCAGGCTCCTCTCCAGACAATGATCTCAGAGCAGCAGGACGTGGGGAGACAGCCTGGGTCTGAACCTCAACTCGGCCTCCTGACGGACCTCCGGTAAGCGGCCTCCCTCAGCTCAGTTTTCACCTGAGATTTGGAAAAGTAGCGGCCCCTGCCTGGCGGGATGTGGGGGGACAAGTGCCTCCCCCCAAGAAGGTGCTTAGAAGCCTCCGGCTGCATGGTTAGCGCTCAACACGCCTTAGCCGGCATTTCTTAGCATTATTTCTGAGGGTCTGCACATACATAATCTTTAAATTTTAATATATTAATATCTAATTTTAAAATATAGAGCTGGGGATGTAACTCAGTGGCAGAGCAGAGCACTGCCTAGCGTAGTCTCATTCTAGAATATTCCGTCCTCCCAAACTGCATTGTCACCCCTCACCCCTAGCAATCGCTAAGCCACCCTCGGTTGTCCTTAACAACACCTGTCACTGACTTTCTTCTTGGTGTAGCCACCTTAGCCATCTTGCTGTGGCTTTAATTTATATTTTCCGGATGACTAATGATGTTGGCTCATTTGGGGATGCTATAACAAAAGTGCCGCAGACCTGCGGGCCTGGCACAGAAATCCAGAGAGCATTTCTCATACTTCTGCAGGCTGGAAGTCGGAGATGAAGGTGCCGGCAGGACTGGATTCTGATAAGAACTTCCCTCCTGACACAGATGGCTATCTCCTGGCTGCATTCTCAGTGGCAGAGAAAACAGAGGGAGCTGGGAGTGGGGTAGGGAAAGAGGGAGAAAACGCTCCTGTATCTTATGACGTGAGTCTCCTTCCTGAGGCCTCCACCCTCGTTTTGAGTTAATGGTGTACTGGGGTATAAGGTGGGAGGTAGAGGGACAGCTTCATTATTTCACAAGGTAAAGGTCCAGCTGTCCCGGCGTAATGTGTTGAAAACTCTGTCCGCACGCTGACTTCTCTTAGTACCCTTGTCAGAATTCAAATGAGCACAAACACGTGGGTTTATTCCTGAACTCTAAGTTACATTCTTTTGGTCTATTTGTCTGTCTAAAGGTTGGTCCGGCACAGTCTTGATTATTGTAGCTTTGCATTAAGTCTTGGAATCATGGGGCTGGGGCGGTAGCTCAGTGGCAGAGCACTTGCCTCTCATGTGTGAGTCACTGGGTTCCATCCTCAGCACCATAGAAAAACAAATAAGTAAAATGAAGATAATCTATCTATCTGCCTATATATCTTGGAATCAGGAGCTATGAGCCTCCAAATTTGTTCTTTTCCTGATTCTTTTGGCTATTAGGGGTTCCTTCCATCTCCATGTGAATTTTAGGATCAGCTGGACCACGAGGATCTGTAAGCCTGTGATTCTTATGTTTTTTTTAAACACCTTTCAAAGGCCATAATGTCTGATAATTCCTGTATCGGAACTCTTCATGGTCAATCTCTGTTGTCTTTTGTTTGTGCCGATTCTTGCTCATGGGGTCTTGTCTCCTTGTACGCCTGGTTATCTTTGTGCTCTGCTCACCACATCTGAAAAATAATTTGTGAGAATCACATGAGGCCTCAGATGCTATCACCTCCCCTTTAGACAAGTCTTTCGTTCATGTCTACCAGATACCTGGGGTCATTACTAATCCAAGGCCCTTTAATTCATGTTCAGGGGCTGAGTTTCTTGAATCACCCATGTGACTGTGCTCAAGGTTTGGTTCACCTTTATTCAAGGACATTTTGATTTAAAGGTGACATAGAGTACTGGATTCCTCATCTTTTCTTCCTTCTTTTTTCTTTTTTTTGTGGTGCTGGGGGTTGAACCTGGGCCTCAT